GTAAATCTATATTGATAAAAATGTTAATTTCCCGATGTTGTAACCCCTAAACTGGGAAACTACTGAACTGATTGCTTTCAAATTTGCAGACAACGTTGCCTTTGACCCCAAGCGTGATTTTTTGTCAGACAATCGCACAAACCACCAACGATGTAGCTCCAGCAACGGTCAAATCATTATTTGTTTCGTTGCCGGCCCGGATTTCTTTTTAGTTAATTGGCTGTTTTTGGCTGCTGAACTCTTATTGAACTTTCCATTACTATATAATCCTATTTCCACTATCTGTTCGAGTGTTTGGTAGCGTAGTTGGTAACTGTACTGCTTATCATGCGGATGACCCGCATTCGAATCACCGCTAGGTGATATTTTCTTTTAGCCCCTAACTAGGCGGCTGGCACGTTGTGTTGTGGTTTACAGCTAGGCTGCGATATCTGATCTAAACTCTTCAGTCTTCTGTAGTTTGGTTTTAAGCATTCCATCCTTCACGCGGATGACCCGTGTTCGATTCCCCGCTGAGTGATAATTGTTCTTTTTTCTCTGAAAAGGGTGGTTACCACGTTGTGTTGTGGATTACAGCTAGGCTGCGATATCTGTGCCTATCGCCTTAAGACATCCTATTTCAGTTAAGTCACAATTAGCATCCCTGCGATCAAATACTATTCGGCGATGACAGAAACTGTTACCTAAGACGGCTTACAGTCCAGTTTACTTTGGGTGAAAACGGATGCCAAGGTCAGTTAAAAATCTCTCCTTCGGAGAGGGAGAGGTAACGGTTGCGTGGTATTTTTCTCCGCTATTCGTGAGTATAGTGTACTTTCCACTGTGGGTTCCATCATTAGTTACGTGATGACGCTTTTTTTATTTTTTTTTATTTCTATGTCTGGGCAACGTTAAACTAAATAGTCCGTGGCGACAGCATGCGGCGCTAACTCCTCTTTTCTACACCAACCTACACAGCCTGTAGTGACAGTTGTTGATGTTGTTGTTGTTGTTGTTGTTATGATGGTGGTGGTGGTAGTGGTTACAGTAGTGATGGTACTTGATGAGTGATGTGGTAGCTGTTACACTGGCTACATTTACTTCTTTGTACAAGGTAATGCTACCTATTTAAGTCTGGGTGGACACGGATGTGAAGCTCAATTGAATTACAATATTTCGTCACACTGTAACTTTCCCATCCTTCGGAGAGGATGATATGATTGGAGGAGGGGCTGGGAGGGGGTTATGTCAGACACAGTTAGCTTAGAGAGCATTAAAATATTATTTTATACGTTCTTATTTCTTAGCTATTTCTATTTTTATCATTTCGCCAGGTGATGATTTTTGAATACTTCGGAAAGGGAAATATGATGAGGGGGTGGGGGTTATGCCAGACACAGTTAGCTGAGAGAGCTCAAAATATTATTTTACAGTTCTCATTTCTTAACTATTTATATTTTAATAATTTCGCCATGAATGATTTTTCAGTCCTTCGGAGAGGGAGATATGACTTCGCAAAAAGATGATTTTTCAATCTTTCGGATAGGGATATATGATTGGGGGGGGGGGGGGGGTTATGTCAGACACAGTTAGCTGAGAGAGCTTAAAATATTCTTTTCATGTTCTCTTTTCTTAACTATTTCTATTTTAATAATTTCGCCATGGATTATTTTTCAATTCTATGGAGAGGGAGATATAATTGGTGGACAGGGAGTTGGGGGGGGGGGGGGGGGGGGGGGGTTTATGCCAGACACAGTTAGCTTAGAGAGCTTAACATATTATTTTAAAGTTCTCATTTCTTAACTATTTCTGTTTTAATAATTTCGCCAGGTGATGATTTTTTAATCCTTCGGAGAGGTAGATATGATTGGTGGAGAGGAAAGGGAAAAAAAGAGGGGGGGGGGGGGGGTTGCCAGATACAGTTAGCTGGGAGAGCTTAAGATAATATGTTAATGTTCTCATTTCTTTATATTTCTATTTTATTAATTTTGCCATGGAGGATTTTCCAATCCTTCGGGTCGAGTGGAGAGGGGGGGGGGGGGGGGGGGGATATGGACATGACACTTTTAGCTAAGAGCTATTTTTTTTAGACAGAGTAGACAATGCGGGAAATGGGCATGGATGCGATCAGATGTCTGATTTGGGCCTGTCAACTGGAAGAATTTCCTAGAGTGCCTAGAATCGATCATCACCATTGACTGGAGCAACGTCTAGGTGACAAACACCTCCTTGCAGCTCATATCACAGGTGCTCAGTCGGACTCATGTCTGCAGACAGGGTTGGCCAGGAACTGGTTTGAATGTGGTCTAACCGTGCAGTATGGGGTCTGGCGTTGTCCTGTTGACAAATATATATGTTGGCACCTTAAATGGAAGGACATGTGGTCGAAGAATTTCGCTGACCTATCATTGTGCATTTAAGCTTCTTTCAATGTGCACCAGTTGACTCCTTTCGTTTTAACTAATCATTCCCCTACACCAATTACATCTCCACGACCGAACAGCAGAGCTTCTTCAAAACAATTGTGGCCTAACCCTTTATTTCGCCTACGGTAGACCCTACGCCATTTATCATGACACTGCAACACAATGAATTATTTGTCACTGAACCAGACATGTCTACATAGATTAATACCTGCCAGGGACAATGTTGGTTGGCACAGAAATGGATATTAGCGCTGGCGACGGTAAGGACAGGTCTTTGCTGTGGTCGTCGTGCCCAGAGTCCAACGTCATGCTGTCTGTTCCGAACAGTTTGATTAGAAACGTGACGTCCTGGAGCAAACGCCGACGCAGCCGAGGAAGCTGCTGTAAACTGTTTCTGGGCTTACAAAGCCAAATAAAGCAATAAGCCACTGCTTTAGTCACTCCGTGTGATCGACTACAATCTCGATCTTCAACTGAACCAGTGTCTTGGAACCTGTGCTGAAGTCAACTGACGGTACTCTGGTGCACGATTAGATGCCTGGCAACCTGACATTGACTATCACCCGCCTGCAATTTGCCAGTAGCAACATTTCTTAAATGTGTCAATTCGTTACTGCTTGAAAATGAACTGAATATTTTGGTGTGCCGTTATTTTTTTTATATGATTTGAACTGCGAAGGCAGTGAATAGTGTTCACCCCAAATTGTATTGCTTTCTCCTGTGCTCAACATAAGCTTGCTCACAAGCAAGGTGTTGAACTCAATTTACCACTGCGTTGTAACGATTACAAAAACCCACTCAATTCACGCTCACATGTCCACTGTACACGGTGAACAACATTTAGGTCTGCTTTTCCCATACCCGAGTACGCTATTGTTAAAAAACTAGGAAAAAGGGAACCCTCGGATAACTATGCGTTCATTTTTTTTTTTCAACAGTATAGCTTGGCATCAGATAGGGCAAAACAGAGAGCAATGCTACACAGTGTCATTTTAAACAGATCCATAGGTCGACCACGCAGAATATGGAACGCAGAAATATCAGACACTAAAAAGTACTTTATACGAAGCGAACTGAAGGGCCCTTTCCAGAGATTTCATCCTGCCCTGATGCCGCTTGGAATTCCACGAGTAGAGAAAAGACGAAGAAGAAGAAGAAGAAGAAGAAGAAGAAGAAGAAGAAGAAGAAGAAGAAGAAGAAGAAGAAGAAGAAGAAGAAGAAGAAGAAGAAGAAGAAGAAGAAGAAGAAAAAGAAGAAGAAGAAGAAGAAGAAGAAGAAGAAGAAGAAGAAGAAGAAGAAGAAGAAGAAGAAGAAGAAGAAGAAGAAGAAGAAGAAAAAGATACGAGAGGTGTCGAAATTATATAGTCACCACATCTCATTATTCCGTCGCCCATTATATGCCAAACTCCTTTCTATTTAGCTTCACAGTCGCTAACGACAAAATGAGTGTTGAAGATCCTTTATCACCAAATGAGTGAAATGCAGACTGACACTATATCAAGCAAGAACAGATATAAGCAACTGACGTTATGTCGACTATCTACAGGGATCTTCGTAAACAGGGCACTTGGGAACTGAACAACGGTTCCCAGAAACCATTCTACGACTTTCAGAGGACGAAAAGGAGCAAAACAACAGTGAACAACTGTATGGTTTTAACAGAAGAATGTAAATGTAGATTAAATCAGAAGAAAGTTACTGAGAAATGTCAGTCAATCAATCAGGTGCTGTCTCCACAATGAAGGTTGGCTGCAATGGATCTAAAACAAGGCCTGTCTCTTGCCCATGATGTACACACACTCATACTGCTGTTCATCCATCTCTTGATGTTATCCTCCCACTTGTAACGCTGTCTGCCTCTTGCTCGCCTACCTTGAAACCTTTCCCTCTAGGATGATCTTTACAATACTGTTATGCCTTTTGATGTGACCAAAATATTTCATTTGTCTCTTTTTTATTTCACCTAGCAACTCTCTTTTCATTCCCAATTTCCTCAGTGCCTCTGTATTTGATAGCTTTTGTTTCCATGAAATACGACCTAATCTTCTGTAAATCCACATCTCCAAAGAATTGATACGATTTTCCAGTTGTTTGTTCATTGTCCATGTCTCTGTGCCATACAGTAAGGTTGAAAATACATAAAATTTGACAATTCTCATTTTAAATGTATTGCTTATTTCTCTTGATGTCAGTAACTTTGGCATGTTGTTGAAAATGTTTTTGGCCATCCCTATTATTTTCTTGACTTCTGTTTCACTTTTGCCGTCACATGTTATTACTTGTCCATAATATAAGAAATTTTCAACGTGTTCCAATTTCACCCCGTTCACTGTGATATTCATTGTTTGCTGATTATTTTCTTAGCTAAATATCATGGTTTTTGTCTTTTTCAAATTATTATCTAATCCAAATTCTGCACTCCTTCTGTTTACTTGCTCCACTAGGTCTTGCAACTCCCGCTCACTCTCTGTTAGCAACACTGTGTCGTCAGCATATCTCAGATTGTTTGTTATTCTACCATTGATGTTCAGTCCTGGTATAATTCTACAATTTCTTTAAAAATGGTTTCTGTACATAGGTTGAAAAGGCTAGGCG